GGAAGTCCGTCCAAACCGTGAGTTAATAATTGTGAAACTGGGTTCACGGGATACTGTAAAGTATGTGCGGCAGTACCTGTTAGATACAGACAGGTATGCCGAGTGCACACTGTTAGCTGGTGGATGACGAGACACGTTTGTCAGACATCAATCGGGTCAACGAGGGTGTCAATTTGTAGGATGCCTTGCGTTATAGATAAAAACGCAACATACCGAGAGAAATTAATCATGCGCCGTGTAATCAGCATGTAATCAGCATTATGTTGAATGACCAAGACCAGCGGCTCGCCAGGAATGCATTCCAAATGGCCATACACTTTGATGTTGAATGACCAAGACCAGCGGCTCGCTAGGAATGCATTCCAAATGGCCATACACTTTGTTTTTAGAGCTGATAGAAGCTTCTGAGAGTCAAGTGAACATGACAGCAACTCGGGGCAGGGCATTACGGAGCCTCTGACTCACCGGAGCGGAGCCGCAGCGAATAACTAGCCGCGTACAAAGAAAAAACCGAGCACGCCACTATCGGTTGCTGGCACGATACAAGTGCTGCGGAGATCACAATAGACGACCCTCGTTGGAAACCTCATTTCAATGTGTTACAGCATGGCCTGGACGGTCAAGACACAAAATAACGTTTGCTGATCGTTCCTGGCTATGCTCGGAAACTTTGTCCGTAGGTCTAGCAATCTGCAAAAGATAGGAGTAACAGCATTGTTAAAGATGATATACCATAAAGAGAAAGAATCGCGTTAAAACTTGCGAGACCGGGAGGTACTTTAATGGCTTCAAATTCCGAAGTGCGAGCGCGTCTCACCCCATCATCACCAGGAAAGAGGAAGAATGCTAGTAGTGGGGTGGAGCCCGTGAAACGCGTGGTGCTCTCAAGCTAACGACCGATACTTGCTATGTATAGGATTCATACAAATTCGGAGTATGTGTGGTGGGTGAGTTGTTGATCGGAGGACGGAATAGTCACGTACTGCGGTGGGTGAAGGCGTAGTATCCATGCCCTATGGGTCTATTCGATATTTGCACAGTGATTATCCGATGCCGTCTCTTGAGACTCTTGCAATTTGACCAAGAAGGCCCATCATTGTGATTTGAAGAGGGCCGGCGGTAAATCACTCAAATGTTTGGCGCGTAAGGCAACCGGTTACCAGTTACCGGTCAACCCCCCGACAGGAAGTGACCCCCAACATGTGACATCATGAATCATTCCAAGTGGGTAACCGCAGCTGTGCTCTGAGCTCTCTGACTTACTCGCTGAAGTTCTGTACCGCGACAATTAACCCAGTAATGCCTGTGCTTTCTGACTTACCCGTTGAAGTTCTTCTGGATAATTTATTGCCTTGGCTTGCTATTCCAGATCTCATCCATCTGGGACAGACAGATCACTTCTTTGCGCGATTGTGCAACGACGAGACATTCTGGAAGAGGAAGTTGCAAGAGGATTTCAATTTTACAGACGAGCGGACCGCCCGAATCAGTGGATGGAAGCGTCTCTATAGAGGTTTGCGCAACCCAAAGACTTATGTGTGGGGGTAAGCACCATCTTTCACCACCCGAAGTTCCCCATAGTCAAATCGCTTCATGTAGGGAGTCTTCGAAGGGAAGATTGGGATTGAAGAAGATACCAAAGACAATCATTAATGATGTCCCATATCCAGCTGAGTTGAAGATCGAATCAGGCGCGCGTATAGTCAGTCTCTCAGCTGCTGGAATGTATGTTATCGTTATCATTTTTCGTGGTTCTGACAGACCTGCTCATGTGACTCCAAAAAGGGGATTCTTTGCACTGGACTCTGATGGTAGCGTATACGTGTGGGGTGAATTCATAGATTATCGCGCGACACCAAGATCGGAAACTAACGCCGCACTCAGGAACTTTGAATGGCACCTCGTATGCTCTAAACCACGATGGGTACTCTGAGCCAGCAAAACCAGCTTATACACCATTGAAGCTGGCCATGCCATCTACTACGCGGAGCATTAGGTTGGAGTGTTCTTGTACATCGAGTACAAGACTTGCTCACATTTGGTAGTTGTGGACGGTTGCATGCTACTACGCTGGACGATCAGCATCATGTTTGGACTTTTTTGAGCTGGGGCCGTCCCTTCAGGCTCAACACACCGGCGCTCGACGCAATTTCGTTTGATTCTACTCCTGCGCAGGTTGAATCCGGCTGGCACTTTTCGTCAGTTCTCACCAAATCTGGTGATGTATATGTCTGGTGGCCGTTCACTGCACCTCTTATGGACGTTATCACTGCACGAAATGCGGCTATGGATGCCGCGGGCTTGAAAGCTCACGCCACGGAGGAAGGTGTCATCCCTTGTTCGGCATGGGAGCTTCACGAAGAACCCACCAGGTTACTACCATTGCCTCAACTGCCGCAGCTGTCACTATCAGCGGAACCCGTGAAACTTGTGAAGATTGCAGCTTTGGAGAGTCGGCTCATTGGCTTGACAAATCATGGCCATGTTCTCTCGATTTCTGTTGAAAGTGATCTTGCCGTTCGGTCCGGCAGATGGGAATATGTAGGTTAATTTTATTCGTGAAACAGTCTCTTCCTTACGCATTCTTAGCTTCCCAACTTCTCTGAAGTCGAGAAGGTTCAACAGCACCCCGCTTATATTTCTTCTCAGTTGAAGCCGCCGCTAAGCTTGCGGATATCTCATGTAATGATTTCGTCAGATGTCGAACGTTTCTTTATAGCTGAAACATCTCCCAGATATCGGCACAGTTTCAAACATTTGTTGCTTATTCTCCCGGTTCCAGTTCTGTGGTTCTTTTGGGTTCTCACGAAACACATGCCGATTCGAAACCTTCAATTCTCCCCGCACTTCAAAATAACGACGTTATTTCTGTCGTTCTTGGAGATTACCATTATGGTGCTCTTACTTCGACCGGGAAACTTTTGACGTGGGGTGGTTATTCTCGAGGTGCGCTCGGCCTCGGCGATCCAGGAATACTCCCACCTGGACAGCCAGGGGGCTACAGAACTGAAGAACGCAAAAGAGCTGCTGTCGCCAACGGCGGTCCGTTTCCACCGGATGTCTCCGAGCCCGCGGAAGTGAGCTTTGGTCACGGGGAAGCACAGAGGGAGAAGATGTTTTGTTTTGCTGTAACAGCTGCTGGGTGGCACATGGGAGCTCTCGTCATTGATTTACAGGTGAGATTTTGAGCGCTGATATGAGTTCTGCGCTTTTTCGAGGGCTTCTGCTGACCAAAGTCTGGATAAAAATAGCCAGACACAAATGCCCAGACAGATAACGATGAAGACGAAGGCCCTCCCATGCCAGGACGATTTCCCCAGCGTGGGTCCCCGCACGACTATCCTCAAGAGCCAGGTCAGTGGGGCCCACCTATAATACATAGGTTTCGAATCGGGTTTGCGGGACGAGGCGCCATCAGAGGTGGACATCTGGGTCGCGGTCGTGGCTTTTGAGAGTAACGACCTTTAAGGTTTATAAGAATAGGTGTGGGTGTACGACCGTATCATGACACGTTCCATTCTGCTTCTTGATCGTGGTATTTTGATGTTATCGCGAACACGCCAGACTTGAAAGCTCTGCTCTATACTTGTCGATTAAAACAAGGTAAGATGCTGGTTATTTTCCTTTTGTCTGCCACCCATTTTTATTCTTTCGGGGGCCTGAATGAATTGACCTCGTGGTGAGGTGACAGTATTGTGAGAAGTCTTCTATGTACTCACCATATTTTTGTTGTTTCCATTCCCGTAGCGGAGTCCCGAACAGGTATTAATGGCCCTTCAGATAGCAGACCCAGACACAATCGATCAGCATGTCATCTCCGATTATCTTCTACGACATCCCCTCTACCCTGTCAGGAAATGCGTGGTCCCCAAACACCTGGAAGACCCGGTATGTGCTCTGTATAGTGATATAGGCAGTTGCTTACCTTACACTTACATAGTTATGCCTTGAACATCAAGGGTGTTCCGTACAAGACCGAATGGGTCGAGTACCCCGACATTGAAGCTCTTGCCAAGAAAATCGGAGCGCCACCGAACAGGCACCAAAGATGATGGCAGCCCATCATACACGCTACCCATCATCAATGACCCAAACACCGGGAAGGTTGTTGCCGACTCTTTCCTTATCGCCGAATACCTTGATGCGACCTACCCGGGTGGAAACACATTGTTCCCCCCCGGCACGAAGCCTCTGATCGCGGCATTCGAGGCTGGTGTTATAGGAGGCATCGGAAGCATTTTGCCCCTTCAGCTGGCCCTCAGTTGCTACATCTTGAATCCTTCCAGTGAGAAGTACTTCAGAGCAACCAGGGAGGCCGCGTTTGGCAAGAAGATTGAGGAGTTCTCTCCCGCTGGCACCCAGCGTGACTGATGACTGGGCTAAGGGCAAGAAGGGCATTGCCGCTATAGACGGTTGGCTGTCAAACAATGGGGGAGGGAAGTTCGTTATGGGAAACACCGTCTCATATGCAGACGGTATCCTTGGGGGCTGGCTTACCTGGGTCAAGATCACCCATGGTGAAAGTAGCGCTACGTGGAAAGATTTCGCCAGCTGGCACGGAGGAAGGTGGGGCACCTACATAACCAACTTGCAACCCTTTGCGGCAGTCCTGTAACTACTCTCTACGGACCACGCGTAACTAAAGTCAATATCATCATGTATGCGGAAGCACTGATGTCAGGTGTTGGCACAAACCTCATTTGCCGATCGAGCCGCAAAATTTCATAGAAATGAAGACGATTTCAAATTCCGGAGCTGCCTCAAGAATGGAACCAAGAGTCCTGATCGAGCACCACTAATAGTTTATCAGTAATGAGGCTGCACCGTTGTTATTAACTTATCATTTCAAAGGTCAACCCACCGTAGTATGATAAGTAAATCATCATACCGCTGAGTCGGTAAGACGCCACTAACTCGGGGAAACATGCATATGGGAGTCACTGACTCCGAAACGACAGTCAGGGACCAACTTTAACTAGGAAGAAGAAAAAAGACAAAAAGGGCCTGGCCGGGAATTGAACCCGGGACCTCCTCGAAATCTAACCCAATGTGGTTTACCCTAACAAGGAATCATACTACTAGACCACCAGGCCTTGAAGATCGCCAGTCCACCTAACATTAAGGTGAGGCAAGAGAATTTGCGTGATAGGAGTCACAAACAATGTCGAAGTATAAAGAGCGCAGGAAATAAAGAACGTAGGGGATAAGTAACCTAAGAGTAACGACAGGGATGTGCAATTTATTTGAACTTGAAAATGTTCCGCAGAGGCGTAGTAAGACGGCTCTTGGGTGCAGCACCCTCCACTCCAAGCCTGAGATCGTTCTCGTTCATCGTTGACCATCGCTTGCGAGCACGAGCGAGCGCAGTCCGTCCGTTTTCTTTGTCTGCACTGGCGATACGATTATGACGGCCAGGAGTAGAGGTTGCCGGCGGGTTGAGCTCGGGTACTGGCGGGACCTCCTGGCGGACGTTGGTGTCGACGGATTTCAGAATGGGCACCTCAGACACACGATGAGAGCTGAGTATAGTACCCTTGGGAACGAGCCTGGATTTCGTTATATGCGACTTCTTCTTGATGACAGGCTCCTGATCGGCCTTAGGCTGCGGCGCGGTACTAGGTCCTGTCTCGGGTATAATATCCGCAGGCTTATTTGCGTCTGCTGCCGACGCGGTGCCATCGACAGGGGCGATGAAGCTGTTCCTTAGAGGGGAAGGGCGCTTTGCTGCTGTGGAAGACTCCGGTGCTGGCGTGACGAGTAGTGTCACATGTTGACTGCATCTGACATCCTCGAAGCGAACGCTCTTGACCTTCTTTAAAATTCCTCTGACCCGAGGAGGGGTGGAAGAATTAATCAAAACAGGACGAGGAGGGAGAGGGCCGCATGGTGGACCGGTCAGGGGCGCTGGAGAGACCTTGACGGCAGGGACTTCCGATTGAGGGCGAGGAGGTGAAAGAGAGCGAGTTGGGTAGACGCGGGTGGAACAACGATCCGGAGTGACGTTCAGAGAATCTCTCGGCCAGTCCGGTACGATCTTGGGCGTAAATAAAGGTGTCGGAGTCTCGACAGGGCCTTGAAGATCGAGATCGAGGTCATTCTCAAAGGCCCACTCATCGTCACGGGAGGATGATGGCATCGACGATATAGAGTCCGTGTCCGAATCCATAAATGCATCTTGAAATTCCTTGTTTTCGTACGTCACAGGGGTGGATATTTCACTCGCAAGTGCAGCATATTGTGATCTGAGGTTTGATAGCATGCTGCCGTGGTCGGTGAAAAGCTTTCCGTCGGAACTGGAGACGCCAGGATCAAAGTTCGGCGACCATACAGTGGGGGAACCACGGAAGGCCGTAGGTATATCAGGATACTCCATATCGTCTACTTCCTTGAGCAGCTGCAAACCAGAGACCTTCTTGCCTCTTCGAATAGCCAGGGAATTGATAGAACCGATTTGTGGCAACACACGAGATGACTTGCGGCATGTTGATGCAAACTGCTTTATTGTCTTATCAGAACAAGATTCAAGAACGGGACCGTCCGAGGAGTGCTGTGCCTGCGTCTCCTTTCGTCCGCGGATGGGTGTACTGGGTCCCGGTCCAGATGAAACCGTATCTCGCTTGATACCAGCCATCGGAACGTGAACGGACCATCGATTGAACCCTGCTTGACGCCCGGGACTTTCCTTCGAAATGACAGCAGTTTCTCTATGGTTTCGGATGCCTGGAGGGGTGGGCGTGGAGTGAGAGACTGTTCCATTGGAAGGTCCATTCGAAACACGATCATCTATCCGTGCTTGCCGTATCTTCCCGTTTTGTAACTTGATGCTTTCAGCTGGGAAGATGGAGCCTTCAGAAACCCAATCACGCCGTGGAACAGGATTATCGCTTGTCCAAGGGACGTGCCTGGGAGGACACTGGGGAGTTAGTCTCTCCTGCATTCGCTTTCGTCAGGTAAAGTGACGCTGCAAATAAATCTTCAACTCACGACCCAGGTGTTCATGAAGAGTCGCTCCTTCATGAGAAAGTTCATGCGCGGAATTGTTGGCGCAGAGAGAACGATACGAGCAGTGTGTTCGTCCGCATGTATGTCTCCGAGAGCGATGGCGCCTGGACGGACAGCAAATGGTACTTGAGCGCGGTGACCCTGGATAATAAAAATGGGTGGCTGGCGATCATTGGGGAAGGGCGGCACGTCCTCCAAGTCACTTTCGTCATCTAATGAAGTGCCCGAAAACGAGAGCGGTGGAACGAGCGACTTGAGATCGTCGAATGGGCCTGCCTGAGCAAGGACGGTGGCAATCTCTAGCGACGGCGGGGACGGCAAGAGAGATGGACGGCCCGAAGGACGAGGGATGCGGGATGGCGACCCGGCAGACATCGAGGTTTTGACGACAAAAAGCAAAGCGGAAAAAAGGAAACGAACAGAATACTGGAGACACGTACTAACCTCGGAGGTCCAGACCATGTTTGAAGCGAATGGCTGACTCCGGCGTTTGGCTCTCCGGTTGGAGGCTGACCGGTCGACCGTCCGTGCCAGAGTCATCCAGTGATCAGTGTTTAACACTGAAAGACTTATCCGTGATCAAGTCAGACTTGTCAAAGTCTTGCAATAGTCTTCATCCAAGACTGCGTTTCCAGAATCCAACCTTGCAGGACATTAATGTAGACGTGACTACGGTGTCGGATGCAATCACCACGACGCGTATGTTATGTTCACGAATTTGAAATTGCCAATGTGATACGAAACTACTATGTTAATGTCGGGCAAATGTCGGGTGACGAGAACCAATGTGCAGACCAAGGGAAAAGAAACAATCGAAGGAAATAAGAGATGCAATGGCGCTAACACGATCCGCTAAATCTTCAGCCACCCAAATTTCTTCTTGTCCCTCCCGAACGTGTTTGACCGGGGTGCTGACATTGTATTGGAGCGCGACCTCTTAAAGAATGCCTTGAAAGATGTCATGCCAGTAGGCGGAGAGACCAGGGGCGGCGGCGACACGTTGGGAACAGAGCGGCGACCGAATGTTCGAATGACAGGGGTGCTTGCAGTAAGACTGGTGATAGGAGACGGACCAGGTGTAATGACCCGAGGGGGACTCCGGTAGCCTTCCGCGGGATATGCAACCGGCGAGGTGGAACTGCCAACAAGAAATGATGGAGTGCCCTACATGGTTGTCAATCAGGAGAATGTGATATGAAAGGAGGGTAGGTACCCGAGGATCGTATATATAATGGACTGATCGCCGCCGCGCGATGGGTGTGCTGGCTGGTGGGATTGCCGAATGGCTGGTTGGAAATTGGCACTTCCACTGGGATCAATCTGGATTAATCCTAGAAACCATATGCCGACAAGGGGATATTGATTTACCTCGGACACATCATCCGTAGATTCGGTCAACTTCCGCCGCTTACCTTTGTCCGACGACACGGGTTGCTGAAGAAAATCATTTCCAAGCCTTTGGAGCGCGTGCGGACATGATACAGGCACGATTGAGTTACTGGTGAGGACATCAAGTGCCCCTGAAGCTTCTTTGGGGTAAGGAAAATCTTGAACCCAACCGGCGAGTTCGTCGAGTTCCTGAAGCAGTGCGAGCATATCGGGAGGAAAGCCGATTTGTGTTGGGGAGGAGAAATAAGGACTATCCAGCGGGCTTTCGATTCGGTAACCAGTCAGGTCGGTTGCAACAGCATGTACGAAGTGGTCATTCTGGTCTGAGACGAGCCTGAAGGTCCTACCAGAACGCTTGGAAACTAGATCAGATATCGGAGAGCTTTGTGCAGTAGATGGGCTGAGCGAGGGGGTGGGGGAGCGCGGAGGGACGTTGAAGACCAGGGCGTTCCGATCGATAACATGGCGGTTCGGCGGAACACTCCGCGGTTTGAGTGTTTGGGTGCGCTGATAGATAGCAGCATGTCTAGATTCTGGACGGAGCGAAAGAGGAGAGGGTGTGTTGTCGATAACATGGTTTCCGTGATCAGAATATGAGATGATCATCGATGAGCTCCGCTTGATATTGAACACATTTTCTTCCTCAGGGGATGAACTGCGATTCGAAATGTGTAAGGCAAGCACATCAACGGGTGCGGACCCTAGCATGTTAAGCGAGGGTGTAGTATGCGGGGCTAACTTGGAACAGGGGGTAATAATAGGGAGGGCAATGGGGCTGACTCGACGCTTGCCATCTTCGCGGTGGTGCCTACGAGGCTCGTGGGAGGAGGGACTTTCAGTGACAGAGAAAGAGGAAGGGGTAAAGGGGACACCCTGTTCAATACTATAGCGACTACTTTCGGTTGCCTGCAGGGCCAGAGTGTTTCGCAAGTCTCGGAGGATGGGTCGAGGTTTCCTGGTCCCACCTGATGAAGCTGTGGCACCCAAGCGTCCGACTGCGAAAGATTTCGGGAGGGTATGGGATGACATGGTGAACAACCAGTGAAGAGGTAAACCAGTGGTCCGGAAGTTAGTACGGAGGTCACAAGTTCGTTCAAATGTCAGCCGCTCGATGTGTGAGGCTGACTCAAAGCCAAGTTGTGTCGTCATAAATCGCTCTGCAATTGCAAGTAAGTAAGTACATAGTCACGGTGTATCAATTGTGCCAATCTACGAGATATCTGAATCGGCTACACACGAGGTCAGCCAAAGAGACTAGCCTTGATCCTCACCTAAGGTCGTCCTGAGGTAGTATCCCGTAGTCAGACCTTGAAAAGAAGGAAGACAATCATTCCTTCCTGAGGTTACACCCAGCAGGCACTGGTCTACTTCTATTCAGATCCTCGTTGCAGCCGTACGTACGTTGCAGAGTGAATGACGGAAATGTGTCCTTTCACAAGGCTCGGCTTCAAGATTTTCTCAATGGGTTCAGAGAACCGTCTTGCAGATCATTGTTATTCCGTTCATGATCGTCGTCGAGTGCCTGTGAAGTTGTCCGAGAATTGATGTATGGTAAATGTTCAATATATGTGGTTTGCAAATGTGGGATCCCACGGTGGTCTTCTTGCGCTCTCTACCGCCTATGTCGTTTGTTTTTCCCTGATTTCTGCTCAAACTTTGTCGCCGTCGCCGCCGTTGTGGAGAGCTAGGCGGTGCTGATACA